ACCAGAAAAATGAAAAGCAACACTCTAATTTCAGATCTAGAGAAACTTTTCAGTGGCAGGTTAGGAAAAAAAAAAAACTCTAATGGAAATATTAATCAGTATTACCTTTCTGGAGGGCAACTGGCCCCACATATGTAATGAATCTTTGAATGTACATATCCTTTGACTCAGTGCTCCCACTTCTAATGACAGATTCAAACACTTTATCACATTATTTCTTATACTAGTGAAGGAAATCTAAATATCCATCAATAAAAGGTTAAACAAATTTCAGTACGGCTATTTGCTAGAATGTTATACAACTATTAAACTATGAAAAGACATTACAAATGTACTGTTGAGTGAAAAAACAGGTTCTAGAACAGCATGTAGAGTTTATACACATATCTATTCTATATAAAAATTTATATGAAATAAGCTTAGAGAAACATCTAAAAGGATATTCACAAAAATGTTAGCAGGATTGTCTCTATAATTTTGGATAAAACTGATTTATTTTTGTGAACTTCTCTATACTGTTTAGATGTTTTAGAACAAACAGACCCAATTTTATAAAAACAATAGGTTCTTTTCAAAGACAGCCTTGGGGCCAGGTGCAGTGGCTCACGCCTGTAATCCCAACACTTTGGGAGGTTTAGGGAGAGGACAGCGTGAAACCTAGGAGTTTGAGTCCAGTCTAGGCAACGTAGCAAGAAACCATCACTACAAAAAATAAAAAATTCTAAAAAACAAAGATAGCCTTGGAAATGAAGGAAGGTACAAAAGGGGATGCAGAGGAGAGAGCAAGTGAAGGAGGAACGTATTGAAGCATGTGAAGTGGCCAGAAACAGGTAGATTGGTGCCTACCTGGGAGGTGAATGAGAAGCCTCTGGATCAGGTTTTTCTGCCCCCTGTGTCTCAGAATGCTGCTGAGAAAATGACAGGGGAGGCTGCTGCTTCTGCTCATCTGAAGACCTTAGCTCCACAGCTGAAGCATGGAAGGCACGTGCCACCAGGGCTGGTCGGCAACGGGCCACTGAAACAGAAACGGGCTGGTCAGTCAGGAACATTCAACAGAGAAGACTCTTCAGACCCAGAGTGGTAATACAGACAAGGAGGAGGAAAAGCAGGCTACAGACTCCTCCACAACCACTTCTCCAAGTGTTGGGTCCCACATAAAAATATTAAGTAAACTGGGAACCTTGGGACACGAAGTGGTAGCAAAAGTGGAAAACCAGGAAACAAGATCTACCTAGTGACTCGACCCGTTTCTTCCACTAGTTACCTGTGCGGTAATTGGCAAACAATTTCACCCCAACATGCAGATTTTAAAATCTGCACATTTAGAGCAATCTCTACTTGCTAGATGAGAGCACTGAGAGGCCCAAACAGAAATTAAAAGTGGCTTGCAAATGTTACTTATTTATATGTATTATGGCAAGAGCCCTGGAGTAGTAATTTCAATGTCTCAGTCCTGACTCCTCCAGTGTCTATATGGTATCTCTGGACAAGTCACTAATCTCTATTTACTTTCTCATCTGCAATATCTGCAACATCCTCATTTACTTTAAGAAAGATGAGAAGTATGTTTCCTAAGCATAAACTCACACTACTTTTTAATTTCCCAACATTTTTTATTCTAAAAATTTTCTTTTTTCTTTTTTTTTTTTGAGTCAGTCTCACTCTGACACCCAGACTGGAGTGCAGTGGCACTATCTTAGCTCACTGCAACCTCTGCCTCTCAAGCTCAAGCGGTTCTTGTGCCTCAGCCTCCCAGGTAGCTGGGATTATAAGCACCCACCACCACTCCTGGCTCATTTTTGTATTTTTAGTAGAGATGGGGTTTCCCCATGTTGGCCAGCTGGTCTCAAACCCCTAACCTCAAGTAATTGCCTGTCTTGGCCTCTCAAAGTGCTAGGATTATAGGCATAAGCCACCACACCTGGCCTATTATAAAAATTTTCAAACATGCAAATTGAAAGAATTATGAAATGAACACCTGTATATCCACCACTAGGTTCTACACATCTGTCATGCTCTTCATTCATCTATCTTGATTTTCTGTGCATTTGTTGCAGATATCAGTATTATTCATCTCTAAACATTTTATCATGGAAGAGTTCCGTGTTCACTTTTTTTATTAAGATGCCATTTACAGACAATGAAATGCATAAATCTTAAGTCTACCATTCTATGAGTTTTGACAAATGTATACACTTGCACAACCTGAACCCAATCTAAAGAGAGAACATTACTGCCACCCCAGAAAGTTCCCTTATGCCTTTTAAGTCATTCTCCATTCATACTGTTCTGAATTTTTCACTCTAGTTTAGTTTTGGCTTTAGTTTCGCCTCTCCTAGGATTTCATCTACATGTATGTGTTTCAGTAAAGCCTCTTTCACTTAGGATTATATAAATGTATGTGTGTGTGTGTGTGTGTGTTTAAGTTTAAACACAGAGTCTCGCTATGTTGCCCAAAATGGTCTCAAACTCCTCAGCTCAAGCAATCATTCTACCTCAGCCTCCCAAAGTGCTGGGATTATAGGCAATGAGCCACCACACCTGGCCCACTTAACTATTTTTGAGATTTATCTGTATTTTTATGTAAACCAGTAGATCTGGCAAAGATTCTGTCCTTCACCAGACTCTAACCAGGCCTCTTCTTATCTAGGCTTCAACCTTGGCCTATAAAGATTTGGACACACACTAACATAAGCTTCACTCAGGGCCCCATCCCATAAGATGACCCTAGCCCCCATTAAAGTATCTGCCTGAGAAAACTCAAGGCTGCCAAAAAAAAGATGTACTGTTTATTCTGGCTAAACTTAAGGATAGGGCTTTTTTCTCCCTGTGGGAAAACAGAATCCTAAGTTTGTTAACTGCCAGCTACCAGACCAATCTCATTTACACTAACCCTGTGTAATTTTTCACTTTCCTGACTCTACTGAGTCCCCACCTGCCTTCCTCCCTCTTCCCTCATTTTTTCTTTAAAACACTCAGTTACTTCTGCATGCACTAAATTCAAGGTTGGGTTCGATTCACGCTAGACTCTTTTCACTATTACAATAGTTACTGCTGATTAAAAACAGTTCTTACCACTTTAGTGTCCAGCTTTGTTTGACAGATTTTTAGTTTTTATTGCAGAGTAATATGCCATTAAAAGGACTATTCTGTTGATAGACAACTGTGCTGTTTCCGTGTTTGGCTACTATGAACATACTTGTACAAACTTCTTTGTAGACACATACCTTCATTTCTCTTGGTGGATTTGTGGGGTCATAGGCATTACTTTTACTACACATCTTTAGTTTGGAATTTTGTATAAATACAATAAAATGGGACTGGGCAGTGGTGGCTCACCCCTGTAATCCCAACACTTTGGGAGGCTGAGGTAGGTGGATCACTTGAGGTGAGGAGTTTGAGATCAGCCTGGCCAACATGGTGAAACCCTGTCTACTAAAAATAAAAAATTAGCTGGGCGTGGTGGCACAAGCCTGTAATCCCAGCTACTCGGGAGGCTGAGGCAGGAGAATCGCTTGAACCCAGGAAGCAGAGGTTGCAGCAAGCCGAGACTGTGCCGCTGCACTCCAGCCTGGGACAAAGTGAGACTCTGTCTCAACAACAACAACAACAGCAACAAACAAAAGTAGTCAAGTAGGGTAGCATGCACCTGTAGTCACAGCTCCTTGGGAGGCTGAGAAGCTAGACTTTATCTCAGGGAAAAAAAGAAAAAGAAAAAAAAACAGTATTCGTAAAAGTATAAATATTTTAATGTATGTACGGAAAGCTATGGCACACATATCCATAAAACTTCGAAAAGGAAGAAGCAGATGCAAAGTATGACTGTAGCACCACCGAGGTTCAAGAGAAGATTTTAGATGAAATACAGGTGAACATTTCATCAGTTACGTATGTATGCTAAAGTGTTTACATTCTATTTCCTTAAATACATTCTATTTAAGGAAAGCGATATTAGTTTTCCATTTACGGCAGTAATATAAAGTTTTTTTTTTTTTTTTTTGAGACAGAGTCTTTCTGTTGCTCAGGCTGCAGTGCAGTGACGCGATCTCGGCTCACTGCAACCTCTGCCTCCTGGGTTTAAGCGATTCTTCTGCCTCAGCTTCCCCAGTAGCTGGGATTACAGACACACGCCACCACTCCCGGCTAATTTTTCTATTTTTATTAGAGACGGGGTTTCACCATGTTTGCCAGGCTGGTCTTGAACTCCTGAGCTCATGATCCGCCCGCCTCGGCCTCCCAAAGTGTTGGTATTAGAGTCATGAGCCACCGCGCCCAGCCTTAAAGTCTCCTCTTTAAAAGGAACTCCTACGTAAAAATAAAAATACTGAGTACATGGTGGCAAAGGTGGTAAGAGAGTATCACAGAATTCGTGAAGTGCTGGGGAAACGACTGGCTTTCGGGAAACAATGGACTAGGCTCTCCGTGGCCGTGGCCACCTGTCCTTCCAGTGGACTTGGCAATGGAGTTGAGAATGGGTCTGGGACTGCCGGTTCTATAACCAACAGGCTGCGTGACCTTGGTACCCCCAGACCTCTCTGAGGCTCCGCCAACTCCATGAAATGGGTGTGACAGGCCCTGCACCGGCCCCTCACAGGCAGCGGGGCAGGGCCGAAGCTGGCCAGGCGGCTCACCAGAGACCGCGCCGATGCCCTTCACCTCACCTTGCTAGCGGGCCGCCCTAACGGCCTCTTCCCCCCACCGCCCAGCTCAAGCCGGCCTTGCGCCCCCTCGGCGCTCCCAGCCTCTCGCCGGCTTGGCCGTCCCCTCACCGGGCAGGCATCGCAGCTGCAGGAACCTCCAGCCCGCCCGGCCAAGCGCACCAGAGACCGCCGCCACCGCCATCTTGAAGGCGGGCACGTAGCCCACGGCAACGCGACAGGCAGCGTCGGGACCACGACGCTTGCAGGGCGGAAGTAGCTGCGCCGCGGAGCCTCCTCCTCTCGCGAGAGGCGCGAGGCGTGGGGCCGACTGCTGAGGAGAAACTGGGAGCGAGCTCAAGCGGCAGGTGAGAGTGGAGGGGGCCAGCTGAAAGCCGGAGTTCCGTCAACTGCCCCCTCCGGCCCACCCTCGTCCCCACATCCCCTCTTTTCATCTTCCCACCCCCGTCCCTCAATGGGAACGCAGACACTGCCGCCCCGCTGAGAGCCCCGGCGGGCTTATTCCTGAGAAGTCGGTGTGAGGGGCCAGGGCCGGCCCTGCCCACCCCGGGCTCCCGACCGAGAATTCACGCCGTTTCCGGGCCGCCTCGTCCTGGCGCTGCCCGCCTTACTCTGAGGCCCCGGGGCCACCACGCTGAGAAGGCGCCCCGAGCTCTGGGGTCCTACCAGTCAGTCGCCAATCGTTGTGACCTTGGGCCTCAGTCCTCGTGAAGTTTCGGTTGCTGGGGGTTCCTGGCCGCAAAGCCCGAAAGCCTGAGGGGCACCTGAGCTCGTGATTGTAATTTCGAGCCTGCGACTTGTCCGAACCCCCAGCGTGTTGAGTTGGTATAATTAAGTATCCAGATCGGAAGGATGTTTGTTGCTAGAACAGACAGCCAGGTCTTTGTCCTGGAGGATGGATGGATTGAATGGGTCTGCGTGTGGGCCATGAATCTCATTTTAACCACTACCTCTGGGTGATTTGTAGGATCTGCACGTTCGGGAAAGGCTGGTGCCCTTCATGCTGACATTACTGAGTGCTAAGCTCTGGATGGCTCAAGGAGATCACAGTCCAGCCACTAACAGAGCACCTCACTGGGGTGTCCTCAGGGAAGGCTTAGTAGGAAGAAGTCAATGGTTTTTGGACTAAGAGTAACTGACGACAAGAGGATGTGATTCTGTCGATTTTGTGTTTGCAGTCAGATTCCATCTTTGTTAAAGTTGTGTTTTGAACACACCTTGTCAACCCTAGTCTTTTCAGAATATCCTCCTCCCCACTGCAAGAGTGTGGGGAAGACCTCCTAAGCCAAAACTTACCGCAAAGGTTAACATTTTAGATTCGTATTTCTGGTTTTAGGTAAAACACTCCTCTCCGTGAGGATTTGTTTCTGAGTTCTGTCCACCCATCTTTGAATGAGCCTTTCCCGTGGAAACTAACATTTGGGTAATCTTTATGAAACCCTAATTCCTAACACACACCAAATGCCTGGAGACATTTCTGTTGCATTGTCGATTCTCACTTTAAAAAAAAAATTTGGGCCAGGCTCATGGCTGTAATCCCAGCACTTTGGGAGGCTTAAGTGGGTGGATCACAAGGTCAGGAGTTCAAGACCAGCCTGGCCAAGATGGTTAAACCCCATGTCTGCTAAAAATACAAAAATCAGCCAGGCATGGTGGCAGGCACCTGTAATCCCAGCTCCTCAGGAGGCTGAGGCAGAGAATTGCTTGAACCCAGGAGGTGGAGGTTGCAGTGAGCCAAGATTGCGCCATTGCACTCCAGCCTGGGCAACAGAGCAAGACTCTGTCTCGGAAAAAAAAAAATCTCTAAGGTCTTAGTCTAAGTGTCAAGATGGCAGGGAACAAGTGCCGCCTTGTCTGTCTCCCTTGTAGGGACAGACACATGGTAGGTTCCTTAGATCTCATTTGCAGATTGTAATTGTGCCTTCCTACCATTCTGCTAAAGCTGACAGGGAAACTGAGGCCCAGAGAGGGGCAATGCTGGCTTGGATTGCACAGTAGGCCAGTTAGGCCCACTTGGTGCTGGTCACCCAGACAGGCAGTGACATGCATGTGCACAACAGCTTCAGTTAATTTTATTTTTAAATTTTTTTTTTTTTTTTGAGATGGACTCTTGCTCTGTCACCTAGGCTGGAGTGCAGTGGTGAGATCTCGGCCTTTCACCTCCTGGGTTCAATCAATTCTCCCTACCTCAGCCTCCCAAGTAGCTGGGATTACAGGTGCACGCCACCATGCCCGGCTAATCTTTGTATTTTTAGTAGAGACAGCGTTTTTCCATGTTGGCCAGGCTGGTCTTGAACTCTTGACCTCAGGTGATCCACCCACCTCGGCTTCCCAAAGTGCTGGGATTACAGGCGTGAGTTGTGGCACCCAGCCCAGTTAGTTAATTTTAATTAGGATTTTCTTTTTGATAACTGTCAGTATTCTTAGAATTCTTTTATGCATCTGAGTTAAAGGATTTTTTGAACTGAAGCCCAAACTTCAGTCTTATTTTTTTCTTTTGTCCTCTTTCACCAGAAGAGTGCTTACTGGGCACCTTAAAAACAGACGTTATTCTCAGACATCCACTTTTACTGCCGGTCAATAACATTTTAGAAGGGCCGTGGACATGTGTCTGCCTCAGTCAGAGTTGGAGAGGTACCTAACAAGTTCAGTGATGTGACAGTGATGCCACCTCTTATTATGAAACTGGGCCCTGAGTCACAGCTTCTAACCATGTTATCTTAGATGCTGGACACTTTTTCCTTATGAGATTTTTTTTTTTTTAAAGACAAATTCACAACAGCAACATAAAGCTCTGATGAGGAAAAGTATCACACTTTGGCTTTAGATATTTAAAAGAATATTATCTTATTTGAAAAATGCTGACTGAAAGTAGTTGCTATGCCTGTTTTTTGAGGGTTGATGTTTAATAAATGTAGTTCATAAGCTCCTCTTGCTCTAAGATTAGTTTTGGGAGATACGGAAGGCAAAGCATTCTACATTCTTCTAATTTATTGACACAGTCCCACTGGAGTTCTGTCCAAAGATCGTAAAGTGCAGCTCTTACACTGTAATTCTAACAATGAAAAAGCAGCTTCCCATCACTCCCTTGGGTGTCCTTCTAGAAGGCATGGCTAAGCAGAAACAGGTTTTTATAGAACTGTTTGAAGCAATGGCAGGTAAACTAGCAACAGAGAAGTAGAGGCCCAGAGTTCTCCTAGAACATTACTTTATGGAGCTCTGTGTGCCAGAGCCTGCCAAGTGCCTTACATATTTTTATCTTCTCATTTGCTTCTTATAGCAGCCTCCCAAAATATGAGGTTATTATCCCTGCTTTACCGATGAGAAAATGGATTCAAAGAGTCTAATGGCTTACCCATGGTCATGTGCCCGTTAGATCCAGCGGTAGATAGAACCCTAGGTCATCTGCATTCAAAACCTTTACCCTATAAAACTGCCTCCATAAATGTTGCTGAAAAGGTCTAGACGTTTGGCTTTTTGTTTTTCTCCAGCTAACGAGTAACCTTTTGCCCCTTGTTTCCTTCATGGGTTTTTCTGTAAGTACAGTGCAAAGTCGTGGTAGTCTGGTAGTTGGGATCTTTATCATCACTTTCTATTGTCCCAAGGAAGAACCTATCCCAACATCATTCTAGAAACAGGTCACTTAATACCCAGCAATTCACACTCCCATCTTGCCTGGCTGGTTCTTAAATGTGAGATTGATTCCACATTGCACACCGTAAAGTTTGCAAGGGTTCTTCCTCAGCATCATATGCCAGTTAAAAATTTCAGTTCTTACTTGTATGCTTTTTAGGGATTTAAAAACCAGAATTGGACAGGCATAGTGGCTAACACCTGTAATCCTAGCACTTTGGGAGCCCACAGCGGGCAGATCACTTGAGGTCAGGAGTTCAAGACCAGCCTGGCCAACGTGGTGAAACACTGTCACTACTAAAAATACAAAAATTAGGTGTGGTGGCATGCACCTGTAATTCCAGCTACTTGGGAGGCTGAGGCATGAGAATTGCTTGAACTCTAGAGGAAGAGGTTGTAGTGACCTGAAATAGTGCCACTGCATTCCAGCCTGGGTGATAGAGTGAGATGCTGTCTCAAAACAAACAAACAGAATTAGCTGAATGCAGTGGCTCATGCCTATAATCCCAGCACTTTGGGAGTTTGAGGCAGGAGGATCACCTGAGGTTGAGAGTTCAAGACCAGCCTGACCAACTGGAGAAACCCTATCTCTACTAAAAAAAAATAATACAAAATTGGCTGGGCATGGTGGTGCATGCCTATAATCCCAGCTACTTGGGAGGTAGAGACAGGAGAATCGCTTGAACCTGGGAGGCGGAGGTTGCAATGAGCCGAGATTGCACCATTGCACTCCAGCCTGGGCAACAAGAGCAAAACTAGATCTCCAAAAAAAACAGAATTGAATTAGTCTCTTTTTTTTATTTTTTCCTCCCCCCCCCCCCATTTTTACTTGACCTCTGTCCTTAAAAAAACCGGAGTTAAGTGACTAAAGAATCCTACTTGTCCGAGAACACTTAGCATTCTTTTAGTGGCACTTGCAGTTGGGTCATATGGAAAGAGCTAGATAAAAGCCATGATGAAGGGAAAATGCAAAAGATTTTCACAGAATAAGGAGGGATCACTTTGAAGTGGTGCGAGATACAGGTGGAGCCAGATTATGGAGGCTGTGGATCCAGAAGCCTAATTGACTTCACTCTAGCAAATAAAACCTTTAGTGAAAAGAGTGACAAATCAAAGTGCTATAGTATTTAATGCTTATGTATTAAGTTAACATCCTGGGTATGTTTTATAGGCAAAGAGGAGAGTTACTTGACATGAATTTTGTTTTTGGGACAGGGTCTTTCTCTGTTACCCAGGCTGGAGTGTAGTAGCACAATCTTGACTCACTGCAGTCTCAACCTCCTGGGCTCCAGCAGTCCTCTCACCTCAGGCCCTTCTCTCTACCCCAGTAGCTGGGACTACATAAAATTACCACATGAGACTACCACGCTCAGCTAATTTTTATATTTTTAGTAGAGACAGGGTTTTACCATGTCACCCAGGCTGGTCTTTAACTCTTGTACTCAAGGGATCCACCTGCCTCAGCCTCCCAAAGTGCTGGGATAATAGGCATGAGCCACCACACCCAGCTATAATTTTTTATTTTTTGAGACAGTCTCGCTCTGTCTCCCAGGCTGGAGTGCAGTGGATCAATCTCAGCTCACTGCAACCTCCACCTCCCGGGCTCAAGTGATCCTCCCACCTCAGTTTCCCATGTAGCTGGGACTACAGGTGTGCAGTCACCTTGCCCAGCTAATTTTTGTTTTGTTTTGTTTTTAGTAGAAATGGGGTTTTGCTGTGTCACCCAGGCTGGTCTGAAACTCCTGGGCTCAAGCAGTTTGCCTGGCTTAGCTTCCCCAAGTGCTGAAATTACAGGTGTGAGCCACTGCACCCAGCCAAAGTCAACATTTTAAAAGAAACAACAGTGTAGTGACTTGGCTTAAATTCAGTCTGTATCTGTAGTGACATGATTGCCACTGAGTTGGACACCTCTGCAGAAGTCTGTTCAGCATAAAACGAATTCATGCTTGACCCCTCTACCACAAATTGTTTCATTTATTTGAGCTATTTTTGGAAACTGGTGTCATTAATGTTTAAGAAAGGAGGAACTGAGTAGAGTACTATCTCTTGACCTAATTTCTTTGTTAGCATATTATATACTCAGCTGAGTATCAAGTGGAAGAGAAAGTGGACACATGGAGGCAAATTCCCATGGGTTAAAAGCATGGGCTTTACAGTCAGATGAATTTGGATTCAAATCCCAGATCTTGCTTTATCCATGTTACACTCATTAGTTGTATGACTTGGGCAAAGTAAATCACCTGAGTTTCCAGACTGTAAAATGGTAATAATATCTAGTTTAAGGCTGTTCTGAGGTTCGGTTGAGGTAATGTTTAGAAGATACTTTGAACAGTCCGGCTGATATTAAATGTTAAAGACATAGTATTCTTGATTACTGCAGATTTGATGGAATTTTCATATTTTGATGAAAGGGAAAATATCAGTATTCAGTTTGCAAATTTTAAATGTGTTATTTCTTTTTAAAAACATTGAACCTGTGGTTGGGTTATGTCTGTCAATTTATTTGCGTTCCTTGCTGAGTCACACTCTGCCTAATTGATGTCCTGTGTGTTTTGCATCTTGTTCAGGCTGAATTATCTTAGGTCAAAGAGGAAATCATCTTTCTGCCTCCAACTTCCTTACTTGCCTCTAATCCCCTTCTTGACTCTGCCAAGTCAGGATTCTCACCAAGGAAGCTATCTATCTTCTTTTGGAATGTTGGGATTATGAAGATGAGATAACGGGGTTCATTTATTCAGACTCTTTAGCATATACAGTAGGATTTCTAATACTGTCAGCATTTCCTAGTGGGTGGTTAGATGTTAGGTTGGGATTCTAATAATATTTTATGATACTTCATGGATTAAACTTCACTTTGTCTCTGCTCAGTTGTGATTCTCTTTTGGCCAGCAGTTTTTAGGTCCATCAGTACTGCACTGCAGGAATGGCAGATTTTGGGATTTCTGCTGGCCAGTTTGTGGCAGTGATCTGGGATAAGTCATCCCCAGTGGAAGCTCTGAAAGATCTGGTGGATAAGCTTCAAGTGTTAACTGGCAATGAAGGCCACGTGTCTGTGGAAAACATCAACCAGCTGTTACAGTGTAAGTACCCACCCATGTTGTCTTCATGAGGCTGGAGGGGTTTCCATGGGAGTGTTGCATTTCTGTGGTTCCTTGATATCTGAATTTTCATTTAGGGTGGCATGTGAAAGTAGTGGCTGGTCACCCTGTAGTTTTTCAGTTGAGATAAAGTGAGCTTAGGAGTGTAGTTGATGATTTCTGTAAGTATGTTCTTCTTTCTTAATAACTATTCCATGTTTTTTGACAGTATTCATCCAGCTTCTTGGATGGATACCGAGTGGTATACATTCTCTCAGGGTGAGGTCTGTAGCCTTTGTGGGGGGTTAGAAGGGACCAGGAGATTGTTCCGGGCTCAGGTGATTGCTAATTAAGAGTCCTCCTCCTTTTCAGCTGCCCACAAGGAATCCAGCTTTGACATTATTTTGTCGGGTTTAGTCCCGGGAAGCACCACTCTGCACAGTGCTGAGATTTTGGCTGAAATCGCCAGGATCCTTCGACCTGGTGGATGTCTTTTTCTGAAAGAGCCAGTAGAGACAGCTGTAGGTAAGGAAATCTTCACTTGAAAAACAAATTTGACAGGGTTGAGGCTTTGAGTGTGTGTGCTACATCTCCTGGAGCAGGAGCTATCATTTGGAAATCAGTATTACTGTAGCAAAACGTTTCCCTTGGGGATAACTTATTGTTAAAATCTGAAGCAGCATATCTGGAGAAATTGTGATCTTTTGCTGACTCGTTATATAATAAAACAGAAGGAAACTGCCATCTAAAAATGTGTCCTTTTGCAGGTGGATGGTTAAAATTTGATATGTTCATAATATGGAAAGTGATGCCGCAGTAAAAAGGAGCAAGCTAGCTATATGTGCATCAGCTTGGGTGGATATCAAGGGAAGTAGCTGAGTTAAGGTTCTGTGCTGTACAATTCCATTCACATTCTTGAAATAACAAAATTATAGTGATGGAGATCAGATTAGAGTTTGCCAGAGGATAGAAGTGGGAGGAAAGGGGTATGTGGAGCTATAAAGGGGTAGTATGAGGGTTCCCTGTGGTGATGGAACAATTCTGTGTTCTGAATGTGATAGTGGTTACACAAATCTACACGTGTAATAAAATCACATAGAACTATACGGTCCTTCTCTGCCAAATGAGTACATATAAAACTAACAAAATCTGAAAAAGCTATGTGGACCATCAATATGAATTTCCTAGTCTTCATACCATGCTATAATTGGGTAAGATGTTACTGTGGGAGAGATGAGGTGAAGACCTCCTTAATGTACAGAATTTTTTGTTTTTTTCCAACTTCCTGTGAATCTACAGTTATTTCAAAATAAAAAGTTTAAAAATAATGGCTGAAACTCTGGGAGTGACGTGGTAATTATTGATTATTAATGGCAGTGTTCATGAAATAAAAACTTTTTTTATGAGTGGTATAGCTGTCAGAGTGACTCAATTCTGGATTTTTAATATTTTTCACTAGACTTTCAGAATGTAACAATTTCATCAAATAGAATACTATAAATGAAAGTGTTTTGAAATATATAAAGGTGTTCATTGTTTATGTGGAAATATAACTGTGTTATGTGTAGTATACATCAGCATTCTTTGCTGGCAATTTAAACCTTACATGACTAAATGCAGTGTTTCTGTCAGAACTATACAGAGAAAAAAAAAGAGAAAAGAACTATACAGAAAGAATACTTGTATTTCTGTGCACTTTGCAGTTCATAAGCGTCTTTACAGTCATTATCTCGCAGCCTCTAGAAGGGGTTTCAAGAAGCAGAGAGTGATAAGAAACAATAACAATGGAATTATAACATTTAAGAGCTTAGATAAGAACACTTTGAACAACCAAAAGGATTTCTCAAATTAAATAGTATCACGTGAACAGGCACAGTAGCTTACACCTGTAATCCCAGCACTTTGAAACGCTAGGGCGGGCAGGTTGCTTGAGTCCAGGAGTTCAAGACCAGCCTGGGCAACATGGTGAAACCCATCTCTACAAAAAAATACAAAAATTAGCTGGGTGTGGTGGTGCACACCTGTAGTCCCAGCTACTTGGTGGAGGCTAAGGCAGGAGGATTCCTTGAACCTGGGAGGTTAAGGCTGCAGTGAGTTGAGATTGTGCCACTTCACTCCAGCCTGGGTGACAAAGTGAGACCCTGTTTCAAAAAAATAGTAATAATAATAATAAAATAATATCACTAAAATATACAGTTGTCTTCATCTTACAATGGAGTTACGTCCTGATAAATACTATAAGATGAAAATGCATGTAATACACCTAACCTGCTAAACATCATTGGTAGGCCAGCCTACCTTAAACATGCTTAGGACACTTGCCTTAACCTACAGTTGGGCAAAATCATCTAACACAGCCTATTTATAATAAAGGGCTGAGTATCTCACGTAATTTACTGAATACTGAACTGAAGTATATAGTTTCTACTGAATGGGTATCATTTTCACACCATTATAAAGTTGAAAAATTGTAAGTAGAACCATCATTAAGTCAGGAACCATCCGTACATTAAGCAGAATAGGTTATTATTGTTTTTTTTGTTTTGTTTTTTGTTTGAGATCGAGTCTCACTCTGTCATGCAGGCTGGAGTGCAGTGGTGGAATCTCGGCTCATTGCAACCTCTGCCTCCCAGTTTCAAGTGATTTTCGTGCCTCAGCTTCCCAAGTAGGTGGGATTACAGGCATGTACCACCACGCCTGGCTGTTTTTTTGTGTGTATTTTTAGTAGAGATGGGATTTTGCTATGTTGGCCAGATTGGTCTTGAACTCCTGGCCTCAAGTGATCTGCCCACCTCAGCCTCCCAAAGTGCTGGGATTACAGGCATGAGCCACCACGCCCGCCTGGTTATTATTGTTTGAATGCCTGCTAACCCACATAGGATTGAGCCTTTATTATTTTTTCTACTTTGACCTATAAAGCTATTAATTGTTATTTTCCTTTTGGCAGATAACAATAGCAAAGTGAAGACAGCATCTAAGCTGTGTTCAGCCCTGACTCTTTCTGGTCTTGTGGAAGTGAAAGAGGTATGTTTGTAGACAACTTTCTTTGCCGCCCTGCAGGTGAGTTAATCAGTATTGCTTGGAACTAGGAAACAAGAAATGCTATGCATGTAAGATACATGATGCTTCAAAGGACAAAACTTGTGAGAATAATCAACTTTGAAGAGACTCAGCTTGGCCCATGTGAGCTGGGGCTTGTTCTGGTCTCCTTGGCACTAGTTTAGTGGTGGTGACAGCTGAGGGGCATGAGCAGCAGCTATGCTGCTTCCAACACCTACCTCTCAGTAGACCTGAATCCTAGGCCTGGGTGAAAAACACTGTCACCTATTTCAGCATCACATTTTTGATGGGAGTAGCTGGGATTACAGGCATGTATCACCAAACCCAGCAAATTTTTTGTATTTTTAGTAGAGACAGGGTTTCACTATGTTGGCCAGGCTGGTCTCAAACTCCTGACCTCAGGTCATCCATCCGCCTCGGCATTTCAAAGTGCTGGGATTACAGGCATGAGCCACTGCACCATGCCAGGCCTTAGATTCTCTATGCCAACCCTTTCTTGCTTCTCCTTTTAGCTTAAGGTTTTCTGTGCTTCATTCTAGAATAAGGAATATGTATTAGGCCATTCTTCCTATGAAGAAATACGTAAGACTGAATAATTTATGAAGACATGGGGTTTAATTGGCTCACAGTTCTGCAGACTGTACAGGAAGCATGGGCCTGCACCTGCTTGGCTTCTGGGGAGGCCTCAAGGAACTTTTACTCATGGCAGAAGATGAAGCAAGAGCAGCACATAACATGGCAAAGGCAGGATCAAGAAAGAGAGGAAGAGTCAGGAGTAGGGAAGGTGCCATACTTTACAACAACCGTATCTTATGAGAATTCGGATGGTGCTAAACCATTAATGAGAAATCTGCCCCCATGATCCAGGCACCCCCCACCAGGCTCCACCTCCAACATTGGGGATTACGACTCCACATGAGCTTTAGAGGGGACACATATCCAAACTATATCAGACTCATAAAAATTCACTTTATACTGAAGCATTCAGAATTATAAAGTGACATCCCGCTCCTTGCTCATACTTCCCTCCCCAGAGGAAGCCACCAATGTATTTTTGTATGTCCATTCAGACCTTTTCCCATGTATTTACAAGCGTCTGCATGCATATACTTCTTTTTTAATGTAAATAAGATCATATGTATACAATTGTTCAATAACCAGCTTTTTTCCCCACCCTTAGATATCATAGACACTTACCCACTTCAGTGTGTTTCCCTTCATTCATATTAATGATGTAACAGTATTCCACGCAATAGATGGACTATGATTTAGGTAACCATTCTGTAATTATTGGACATAGAGGTATCCTTTTTTTCTACCTTTACTCTCTGCTACTTCATCCCCAGGAACATAGGAAGGATTTTCCTCCTCCTTTCTCATTTGAGATGTAAGTTTCTGCTGTCTTCATTGTGGGCATTCTATCCTGTTACACAATAGGACCACATCTGGTTCATTTCCATAATTATAGCCCCTACAATAACTAGCATATACCTCATCCCTAATATTTCATAAGTACTTTTAAATTTTCCAAGGGGTATGCTCCAAGTAGACATGCAGACAAAAGTTATACTCTAGTGCTCTGATTAGTGAGAACCTGAATGTGAGGCATAAAGCGATGTCTGTTACCATCCACTGTTGTATACTTAATGCATGGAAATGAGTCTTTAACTCCTGTGTAGGTGGACATAGTAAACCATTTTATAGAGGAGGGTGGACTAATCCTTTTGATGTCTTGAATTCCAGCTGCAGCAGGAGCCCTTAAGCCCCAAGGAAGTACAGTCTGTTCGAGAACACCTGGGTCATGAAAGTGACAGCCTACTGTTTGTTCAGATCACAGGCAAAAAACCAAACTTTGAAGTGGGTTCTTCTAGTCAGCTTAAGCTTTCCGTCGCCAAGAAGTCATCTCCTTCAGGTAAAGCTGGCATAGGGACATTCCATTTGCATGGGCTTAGAGGGCCATAATTAGGAATTGAGCCAGCAATAAATGAGATGGTGATATTTTTAGAGGATTAGTCCTTTGATTTCTGCCATTTCCACATAGATGAATACTTAATTTACTATTATCATAGGTGTATTAGGATCCAAAACTGAAATAATATATAGGTATTATCTAGTCCAGCTCTTCCTTCTGTACCAGAAAATACTGAGGCCTCCTAATTCTTCAGGACTGAGTCACACAGTTTAATTAGTGAAGTTCTTCCAGGTCCCAGAATTAACATTTATCCTCAGAAGACCTTACAGTATAGTGGTAATGGTGGATGAGAATGCCCTGTTCCTGTTCTCATGTCCCTTTTTCCCCTATACCAGGAAAAGCAGCTGTTCTTACTTTGTGGATCCTAAGACACTTAAAAAACTATATTTCTTCTGCCTAGAAAATTGCATACAAACACATGCGGGCACGCACACACACACACACACACACACACTGCCCCACTCTCATCCTTCCTATCACTATTTTTTAATGCCTGAATTGTCCCAGCTGTGAGGTATGCACACATTTACAGATATTTACTGGTACATCCCCACTTGTACAGTTTTGACTGTCTAACCTAAATCTTCAAGAAATCCTTTGGAATCTAACCTTTCAATTCATGGTTCCAGAATGGGTAGGGACAGCTTAGAAGAGTGACAATGATCACTAGAGGGTACTCTTACCCCAAGGCCCCGTGAGGATTTGCCCACACTATATCCGAGTCTCAGCTCTCCGGCTCTTCCTTGCATTCTTCTGACTAGACAAAGAATCAGGAAGTGTGAGGTTTGTCTGCCACTGATGGTGTTACCTTCCCACCAGCAGCTTTAGAACCTATTTTCTTGTATGTAGCAGGTTTACATGAGGCTAAAGCTCTGCTATTTTTGAAGTTTTTGACACATTTCTCAGTTAATCCTCAAAACACCTGCAGTAACATAGGGAGTACAATTTAGCTTTATGTTATAGGATAGAAACTAAGGTATCAATGAGGAAGCTGTATGGAGTGGAGGTTAAAAGCATCAGACAAGGCCAGGCATGGTGGCTCACACCTGTAATCCCAGCACTTTGAGAGGCCAAGATGGGCGGACCGCTAAGGTCAGGAATTCAAGACCCGCCTGGCCAGCATGGTGAAACCCTGTCTCTACTAAAAATACAAAAATTAGCTGGGCATGGTAGCAGGTGCCTGTAATCCCAGCTGTTTGGGAAGCTGAGGCAGGAGAATCGCTTGAACATGGGAGGCGGAGGTTGCAGTGAGCTGAGATCGCACCATTGCACTCCAGCCTGGGCAACAGAACAAGACTCTGTCTCAAAAAAAAAAAAAAAAAAAAAAACATCAGACAGACTTTGCAGCCTGTGGAACCAGCCTAAGTGTCTAAACCTGTTTCCTCAGCAGCAAAATTAGGATGACACACGCTTACCTCATAAGGTTGTCAGCAGAATTAAGTTAGATGATGTATACAAAGTGCTTAATATGGTGTCTGGTACAGAGCAAGTGCTTAGCAAATGGTGATTTCTATAACTATCAGAAAGTGGTCGGCCCAAGGTCAGACATCTCAGAGGGGTAGAGCTGGAATTTGAACCCACGCCTTCTGCCTCCCAGTGTAGTGTGTTCTCGTCTACACAGCAGAAAGCACTTAGGTATGTTGTAGTTAACAGTTTCTGTTTTTATGGAGCTCTTTTTCTTTTATTGCTTGGACTCAGTGAAGCCTGCTGTGGACCCTGCTGCTGCCAAGCTGTGGACGCTCTCAGCCAATGATATGGAGGACGACAGCATGGTGAGCTGGCACCATGGTCACTTGATTGCTTTCTTTCAAGCCTCAGTTTCGGTGTGAACAGCTATAGTGATCTTTCTGGACTTGTCGGTGTGAACGTATTTAAAGCCCAGATTTGTGAATATTCCTGTCACTTACATCTTTGGTTTAAAAGGAAACTCCATGTTGGTGGCTTTTTTTTTTTGAGTTGGAGTCTTGCTCTGCCACCCTGGCTGGAGTGCAGTGGCGTGATCTTGGCTCACTGCAATCTCTTGCCTCCTGAGTTTAAGTGATTCTTTTGCTTCAGCCTCCCAAGTAGCTGTGATTACAGGCACATGCCACCACACCTAGCTAATTGTTGTATTTTTAGTAGAGACAGGGTTTCACCATGTTGGCCAGGCTGGTCTCAAACTCCTGACCTCAAGTGATCTGCCCGCCTCAGCCTCCCAAAGTACTGGGATTACAGGTGTGAGCCACAATGCCTGTCCATATTGGTGGCATTTTAAATTTTTTAGCATCTCTTTTTCCCCACATGATTTCTTGTTCTCACTTCATGTGATATGTTAAAAACTCTCGGGGGTTTGTGTAAACCTGAAAATATTTTGTCAGCTTAAATTGTTTTATTGGCCTCTTGGTTTGGGCAAGTTGCTGAATGTTCCATGCTTTAAAAAGCAATATTTTCCATCTTTGCCATATCTATAATAAAGTTCTTCATTTCTACACTTCTACTATTGAAGTTAGAGTAGTGAGCAAAATAAGTCAGGTTCATGCTCTCAAAGAGTTTACAGACTAAGTGTCTACACATTTACAAAGAATTACATAAAGGTATATATAATTATTTGATTTTTCTCGGGGATTATATGGAAGATATTCCATTTTTCACATGACTCGTCATAGACACTTCTCTCTTTGTTCTGCCTGCTCTCTCTCTTCTCCCCACTCCTGTCCCCCACCCCCAACATTCTTGACAATTTGCTGGCCAGTCTTACAGGCTTTTCTCAAGTAAATTTGTTCCCAATTCCTTCACAACCTAGTGCATAGTCTGCGGATGTAGTTTAACTCACTGTTGGCCTCTTGGGCATGTGGTCAGGTTGAACATGATGATCAGCCAAAAGAAGGACAGGGTGGACACCTTCTTTCCCCTGGATTCTAAGTTTCCTCTCGAAGCCTGTGGTCACTTTAGCTTTTCATTAGCAGAAACCACAACTGTGTCACTCGTTGCTTTAACACTCTCCAGGATCTCATTGACTCAGATGAGCTGCTGGATCCAGAAGATTTGAAGAAGCCAGATCCAGCTTCCCTGCGGGCTGCTGCTTGTGGGGAACGGAAAAAGAGGAAGGCCTGCAAGAACTGGTAAGTGCCCGGTGACTGGAGCCTGTGATGCTGCCTCCAGTGGCCTCATGCTCAAGTAATTGCAATGCTTTACTATTTTTAAAACATACATTTTCCAATCTGGGCAACACAGGGGGCCCATCTCTACAAATAATTTTTTTTTTTAATTAGCCAGGCATGGTCGTATGTGCTTGTGGTCCCAGCTACTTGGGGCAAAGACAGGAGGATCGTGAGCCCAGGAGGTCGAGGCTACAATGAGCCGTAATTGTGCTTAATCTCATTCTCCCTCAGAACCCTACCAGTGAGCCATGATTGTGCCACTGCCCTCCAGCCTGGGCATCAGAGCGAGACTTTGGTGTTTTCACATTTGTTTTTATAAATGGTTGGGAAGGATGGTAGAAAGTTAATCTGTGGTGTTCAGGCTTGTTTAATCATCAGTGTTTTTAAAATGTAAAAGCTGCCAGCATTTACAAATCAGGAGATTTTAAGTGAAAACACAGATTTTTTTTTCCCTGCTGTTCTTGAATTTGGAAAATATGGCAAACTGGGTCCACTTTACCCAATATGATAACCAGCTGAAGCTGAGTAGTGGCCACCCTCTGTAGACAGAGCATACACCCTCTACTTCCCCCCATCCTCCTCTCCCTCCTGTCTCCCTCAGCAGCCTCTCACATTGCTGCTATCTGCCTGGCCCATAGGCTTCTGAGTTATGACACCGAGTGTGAAGAGAAAAGGCTTACAGCACATTTTGGCACTGTTAGGATTTGGGATTTCTGGGTGGTGGTAATTCTCATTCATTAGTCACTGATTTTCCCACAGCACCTGTGGCCTTGCTGAAGAACTGGAAAGAGAGAAGTCAAGGGAACAGATGAGCTCCCAACCCAAGTCGGCTTGTGGAAATGTAAATAGAAGGATCATTCCTCAGCATTCACAAAACCCCCAGGGGGATTAGGCATCCTTCTACACTAAACACAGACAAGCTCTACCTCACATATTTTAGGAACAGACAAATGCATGAGCACATGAACATAGGTAGTAATGGGGAGAAAGGCTGTCTCCTGAGGGTGAGAGTGGGTTAGCGTGCATGTGTCCGTTGGGGAGGGTCTTGTGTTTTATTTGTGGCCCATTTCTTTCTACTCCAGAGTTAGACATTTAACCGAGGTTGGTTGTGTTTGGAACGGCATAAAATATAGAACTATGGCTGGGCACAGTGACACATGCCTGTAATTCCAGCACTTTGGGAAGCCAAGGCGGGCGGATCACTTGAGGTCAGGAGTTCCACACCAGCCTGGCCAACATGGTGAAACCCGTCTCTAGTGAAAATACAAAAATATTAGCTAGGCATGGTGGTGCATGCCTGTAATCCCAGCTTCTTGGGAGGCTGAGGCAGGAGAATCACTTGAACCTGGGTGGTGGAGGTCTCAGTGAGCTGAGATCACACCACTGCACTCAAGCCTGGGTGACAGAGGGAGACTCTGTCTCACACACACACACACACAAAATGTATATATACATATATATGTATGTATGTAGATATATGTGTATGTATATATACATATATGTGTGTATGAACTATGGCCTCCTAAGGAACTTATTCTTGACTATAGTTTTTCACAAAACCAGAAATCTTGAAAACTCTTAGTATTTGAGTCTCAGTTGGACCTGCAAACATACTCAGCTATTTCCTTCAGGCCACTGTGGCTACATTATGAAATTAGGAATTTCTTTCTTCTGGCTGGTATGCCTAGGATAAGCTGACCCTTCCCCATTCTTTCTCTCCAGTGCTACCTGGGTGATGCCTTCCGCTGTGCCAGCTGCCCCTACCTTGGGATGCCAGCCTTCAAACCTGGGGAAAAGGTGCTTCTGAGCGATAGCAATCTTCATGATGCCTAGGAGGGACCCAACATGGGACACATCTGCTCCTTCAGCCAACTCCTGTCTCTCACATCCCACCACTGTGGCTCCTCCCGCCTCCTCTGGATTTGTTCACTCTGTTTGAGATCTGTTTGCAGAGTGGGTGCTTAGCAGACAGAGTGAAGCTGGCTTGTGGGCACAGTGGTGTATAGTGCTGCTCTGTATCAAGACACCAAGGTATTATGGGTCCTGGTTACCCAGAATGGGCTGGGTTTCTTCACCTCATGTTAAAAGAAGGGAGTGTCCTGAAGAAGTCCTTCTGTTAAAATGCTGACCAGAACACTCTTGAGCCCAGACATCCTTGAGCACTAACACTCTGTGACAGAGCTCCAGGCCCCTGCCCGGAGTCTCATCTCAGCAATGCTGCCACCTGCTTGTCTTTCCGAGTTGTTAGTTTATTCCATTCTTTGTGACACAAGTCAAGTGTCTTATGACCTCCTCAGGGCACCAGAGGAGTCACTCACTGGTTGCTGTGATGATATTCAGTGTCCCTCTGCCCCCTTCCACCCCCCAACCCCATTTTACTGTGGCATTGCATCTGTGTTTTATTGTCATTTCTGTTAACCATCAGGTATTAAACTTGCTGCATATCTTGAGATATCTTGAGATTCTGCATGTCTTGTAAACAGAGGGGATGTACATTTGTGTGTGATGTTGGATAGTCATCCACGCTCAGTTTGGACCATTGGAAGAACTTAGTGTTACACACAAATGGGGCTAGTGCTGCGCTTAGAATAGGGCCTGTCAGCCCACTTTAGAAGAGCCCAGGTTGGTGAGCATTTAGAGGGAAGCAAGGCAGACCTCTGAACCAACAATAAGTCTCTGAGCAGAGACCCCTTTGTTCTTGTTACCCACCCGTATGGACTTGGGATCAATCTTGCCAAATATTTGGAGAAATTAATGTGGATTTAAGAGACCTGCATTTTTATATTTTACTAGTAAATAAAAGTGTTCAATTGGTATCTGTCCTTGAAACTTGATTTTATTCTCCAAGTTTGCTTTTGCTTATCCTAGTCCCTGCTGGTGAATTTTAGTTGTTGCTGTGGCTAATTGAAGTTTGGCTCCAAAGCCCCTTTTATACGCAGGTCGAAGATGACCCCTAGTGACTCATGCCCTTGTATGATAGCCTCCCCTGGAGTTTCAGTGGGACCCGTCAGTGTGATGGGATCATCCCTGCCGTGATTAGGTTACGTTTTGTGGCAAAAGTGAAGGGATTTTGCAGATGTAATTAAAGTCCTTAATGGACTTTAAGTTAATTAAAAGGGAGATTATCTTGAGTTGGCCTGACCCAATCAGTTGATACTTTAAAAGAACTAGAGAAGAATATCTTGCTAGCCTTGAAGAAATAAGTTGCTCTATTAGTCTGTTTTCATACTGCTATAAAGAACTGCCTGAGGCTGGGTAATTTATAAAGGAAAGAGGTTTAAGTGACTGACAGTTCAGCAAGGCTGGAGAGGCCTCAGGGAACTTAAAATCATGGTGGAAGGTGAAGGGGAAGCTAGACACCTTATTCATAAGTCAGCAGGAAGGAGACATGCCGAGCAAAGGGGGAAGAGCCCCTCATAATACTATCAGATCTCCTGAGAATTCACTCACCATCACGAGACCATCATGGGGAAATTGCCCCCATGATTCAGTTACCTCCACCTGGTCTCTCCTTTGACACATGGGGATTATGGGGATTACAATTCAAGATGAGATTTGGCTGGGGACACAAAGCCTAACCATATCAGTTGCCAAGCTGTGAGAGGGCCATGGGCAAGGAACTGCAAGGAACTGAATTCTGCCAGCAACCAGGTTAGCTTGGAAGAGGACGCTAAGTTCCAGGTAAGAATGCAGCCTAGCCAGCATCTTGTAAGATCCTGAGTAGAGGCTCCGGTCTGCTGTGCCAGGACTCCTGGCCCAGAGAACCTGTGGTAAGAAATGAGTGTTTTAGCAGCTAAATGTGAGGTCACTGGTTACATAGCAATAGGAAACTAATTCAGCCCCAGAATGGTTTAACAGTAATATAATTATTAAGCTGCAGGGCCACTGTTAGTTACTTCCGCTGCACTTGTCCAGATGAAGGTCAAAAATCTCAACTTCCAAGTTGAGGGCAAGAGTCCTGAGCCAGAACTTCCTGCATTGGTCTGGCACATGCTTCAAGCCTTTGCCGATTCTTGTTCTGAGTCCCAGCTGCTGCTGGCAAAATGGACACTGCCACCTCTTGTCAGCTGTAGTTGGTATAATGATTTTATGCTGGCATTCCACAGGGTCTGAGGCAAGCCAGCCAGCTCGGAGTCTGGGGCCCAGAGTGAGGGAAGAGTCCTTGCCAATCAGCAGTGCACACCTGGACGGGGGGCTCAGCTGCACTTGCACGTGCACCCAGAGAGGCAACAGCCAGACAGGCTAGAGGTTTTAGCCTTCAGCAAGCTCACAGTGTTGGAGCCAACATGGGCTCTGATAATCACTGAATGCAACCTCATCTTACATCTGAGGAAAGAGTGGGACCAGGAGGGTGACCTGCTGCCATCATTCACCTGAGCACCTCTTAAAAGTACTGAGGCCTGGCTGGGCATGGTGGCTTACGCCTGTAATCCCAGCATTTTGAAAGCCTGAGGTGGCTGAATCACCTGAGGTCAGGAGTTTGAGACCAGCCTGGCCAACATGGTGAAACTCTGTCTCTACAAAAATTAGCCAGGCGTGGCGGCATACGCCTGTAATCCCAGCTACTCGGGAGGCTGAGGCAGGAGAATTGCTTGAACCCAGGAGGCAGAGGTTGCAGTGAGCTGAGATCACGCCATTGCACTCCAGCCTGGTTGACAGAGTGAAACTGTCTCAAAAAAAAAAACCAAAAAAAAAACAAAAAAAAAAAAACAAGTACTGAGGCCTGATGTCCTTGGACGTTCTGAGTCAGCCCAAGGTGGACGGAGCTGGGGCTTGGGGCAACGTCTTTCTTCTCTTTTAGTTTTCTAAGGTCTTTTTTTTTTTTTTTTTGAGACGGAGTTTTGCTCTTGTTACCCAGGCTGGAGTGCAATGGCGTGATCTCGGCTCACTGCAACCTCCGCCTCCTGGGTTCAGGCAATTCTCCTGCCTCAGCCTCCTGAGTAGCTGGGATTACAGGCACGCGCCACCATGCCCAGCTAATTTTTTTTTTTTGTATTTTTAATAGAGACGGGGTTTCACCATGTTGACCAGGTTGGTCTCAATCTCTCGACCTCGTGATCCACCCACCTTGGCCTCCCAAAGTGCTGGGATTATAGGCTTGAGCCACCGTGCCCGGCCAGTTTTCTAAGGTCTTTAGCTTAGAACTTGGTAGTGTACACTTGGGACTTCGGCCTTCTGAAATCATTCAAAAGTAGAAAGTGAAGGGGACAGCAGAGACAAACCACACCTTCCTTGGGGTTAGGAGGCAGCCAAAACTGAACCACAAAATACCTGGAAAAGGGTGAGAGCAGAGGCTTTGGAGCCAGAGTGTGGACAGGAGAGAAGGGAGAGCAGGCAGGGCTGCAAACCTGCTCCAGGTGAAGATACCCCTGGACTGTAGAATGGGCCCATTTGTAACAGTGGGTTCCGAGTGCAGGCCAAGCAGTGAAGCTGAAGGGAGAACCCCACAGCGGAGCCTGGCATGTGGGAAGCACCCTGGTCTCTGCGCTGGAGGAGACTGTGAATAGCCCAGTTGCCAGTCCTTGTGGCAGGGAAAAGGCTAAACAGAAACCTTACCAAGTATTGGTGAAAATGTGGCCAGGTGGGAATTCACTTTTGGTGGGGATACTTTGAACAATGTCACCTTCATGTCACTTTGAACACTGGGTGCATATTAGAATCACCTGGATAGCTTCCAAAAATAAACAACAAAAACTCTTCCTGAATTTTCCTTCCAAAACCCAATTCAGTCAGAATCTTTTGGAGTAGGGCCCAGGGCGTCAGCATTTTTGCAAATCTCTCCCATGTCATTGTAGAGTGCAGCCAGGATTGAGGACCAATGCTCTAGAGAAATTCTTTGGCCCATCCACCAGAAGACAATTTAAAAAAGTATTCAAAGCAGCAATACTTCTAAGAGAATCCAAGCGGCCATTGACAAGAATGTGAGTGAAGGAGCACGTGTCCAAGCAGGGAACACTGCACAGCAGTGATGAGCTACAGCTGTGCACACCAACCTGGAAGAATCACGAAGCCACAAAAGCAAGTCACAGAAGTGTGTGTGTGTGTGTGTGTGTGTCTGTGTGTGTGTGAAATGTGATTTCATTTAAAGTTCAAAACATGCAAGATGCATCAGCCTGTCATTAAGGATATACACATACATGCATATATATGATGTATACACACGTGTGTGTGTGACAAGACTAAAAAGAAGCTCAAGGGAAATGATAAAATTCAGGACCACAGTTGGCTCCAAAGGGAGATGGGAGGTAGAGGCAGGACTTCATAGTAGCAGGAAAGTTCTATTTCTTAGGCTGGAAGGTGGGTATACAAGTGTTTATTTTATTATTGGTTTGCATACCTGCCATATACATGATAGATTTGTATTTCTTTTTTCTTTTCTGTTGAGATGGAGTCTTGCTCTGTCACCCAGGATGGAGTGCAGTGGTGTGATCTCGGCTCACTGCAACCTCTGCTTCCCAGGTTCAAGTGATTTTCCTGCCTTAACCTCCCGAGTAGCTGGGATTACAGGCATGCGCCACCACGCCCAGCTAATTTTTGTATTTTTTTTTTTGAGACGGAATTTCGCTCTTGTTACCCAAGCTGGAGTGCAATGGCACGATTTTGCCTCACCGCAACCTCTGCCTCCTGGGTTCAGGCGATTCTCCTGCCTCAGCCTCCTGAGTAGCTGGGATTACAGGCACACGCCACCATGCCCAGCTAATTTTTTGTATTTTTTAGTAGAGTCGGGGTTTCACCATGTTGTCCAGGCTGGTCTTAAACTCCTGGACTCAATTCATCTGTCCACCTCGGCCTCCCAAAGTTCTGGAATTAACAGGCATGAGCCACTACACCCGGCCAATGATTTTGTATTTCTAAGAAACTTCATTGAAAAAATCTAAAAACTCCTCACATGAAAACGTGGGTCTTAAGGAAAATACTGCTAGCCCAAGGCAAAGTTCTGCATCTCCACAATGTGGACCTCCATTAATCATAGTGTACAGCATCTATATAAAGCTGCCTTGGGATAATAATAACAGAGGAAGAAGGTTGCCACAGAGCAGATGAATACTGTCTATGACCAAAATTTTTGCTACAAATTACACAAATGTATAAATGTAATGAAGAGACAAAAAGAGCTCAATAAATTATTATTTGAGATGGAGTCTCTCTCTGTCGCCCAGGCTGGAGTGCAATGGCACAGTTTCGGCTCGTTGCAACCTCTGCCTCCTGGGTTCAAGCAATTATCCTGCTTCAGCCTCCTAAATAACTGGAACTACAGGTGCCCATAGCCGCACCCGGGTAATTTTTTATTTTATTTATTTATTAGAGACAGAATTTCGCCATGTTGACCAGGATGGTTTTGATATCCTGACCTCATGATCCACCCGCCCCAGCCTCCCAAAGTGCTGGGATTACAGGCATGAGCCACTGCACCCAGCCAAGTTCAAGAAATTATTAAGGGACAAAGAGG